ATATAAATATAAATTCTGAAATGGATATATGCATTATTATCTGAGCTGTGAACTTTTTGTTTACAAATTTACAATTGAGTATGCAAATGTATTAGCCGTGTAAAAACTAATATAAATAAAAATTCTGAAGTGGATTCAGGCATTATTAGCTGAGTATGCAAATGTATTAGACGTGTAAAAACTAATATAAATATAAATTCTGAAGTGGATATATGCATTATTATCTGAGCTGTGAACTTTTTGTTTACAAATTTACAATTGAGTATGCTAATGTATTAGCCGTGTAAAAACTATTATAAATACAAATTCTGAAGTGGATACAGACATTATTAGCTGACTATGCAAATGTATTAGACGTGTAAAAACTATTGTTTAGGAGTGGGGTGGCTGGTAAATCCTCCGCAAAAGGATCAATAAAAAGTTTCTCCCACGAAGTACAAAAACGCAGAAAATTCGGGGGTCGAAAAATGACGTCGGCGGAGTGCCCGTAGCATACATATATTTTCGCAGTCGATTCGGTACTAAACTTAGCTTAGCCTAAGGGCCCGCTGCCGGTCGAGAAGCCCAGCTTAACGGCGCGAGAGCGGAAGAGCGGGAGAACCGTGAATTAGAGCGGCGTAGCCGTCCCTAGAGGCGAGCGACGATCGGGAACACGGGAGCGTGCGATCGGGAATACCGAGGAGCGGAGAGCGGGTGAGCGTTGCTAAGCTGGAAGCGCTTGAGCTTTTGGACGCTCGGTGGGCAGAGGGGGAACAGGGGGCCTCCTGGCGTGAACATTCTCCCCCCTTGCAATCACTCGGGTTGCAATAAACCCGTGCAGCACTATGGTGTGGAGGAGCGTGAAGTCGCATCAGATCGCACCGTAGGACGCTGATGCCGGAGCGACGAGTGGGGCGAAGGACGAGTACCATGGAGAGGCGGATGATTGCCATGGAGAGGCGGATGATTGCCATGGAGAGGCGGATGATGATTAGGAGGCGTCGGAGGCCGTGAACAGGACGCATCGAAGCTGATCGGTACTGAGCGCTAGAAGACGTCGACCTTTCCGTAGCGGATGAACCAGGATGGCAGACTCGGCAACGGTAGGACTAAGAACCTCGAGTACGTCTGCCTTCCAGAGCGATCGCGGTGTGTGGAAGCCCTCGTAAGCGATCTGGATGAAAGAGGATGACATGGAGATGAGTAATGGTCAAAACATGAAGAAATGAAGTAGAACTACAAGTATGGGGGAGACCGATGCTGCGAGCGGAGTGGATGCTCTGGACGGTCATGCGGATGCAGGAGAGTGTGATGGTGCTGATTGCACGTCTTGCATCGGTCACCACTGCGGCAGGTTCCCTCGGAATGTTCGTGGGCCAAACAGTTAGAACAATAGCGGTGGTCGAGAACCGCACGAAGCCTCTTCTCAGCGCTGAGTTTGAGGAACTGTTGGCATTTCCGGAGCGGATGGTTCCCTTGGCAGACTCGGCATTGGTAGGAAAAAATACCTCGTGAACGTCTGCTCTTGCTGTCGTGGTACGGAACCCAGTAATTGGAGGAATCGGCAGAAGTGGTCACTCGTGTGGAGAACGAGGAAACCCTTTGGATGGGTGCAGGTCGAGGACTAGATGGAGCGGAGGGTCTTGGAACGCTAGTAGTTGGATTGTCGCGGTGCAGCAGAGAGTGATGCCGGCTGTGGCACTTAAAGCAGGAATGGGCACTAGTACAGTCCCGTTGCTGGTGCCCTCGCGAAAAACAATTTAAGCAGAGTTGCTTTTTTCGGATGAAGTCTGTCCGCTCATTGACATTCATGTCCAGGAAAAACGGGCATATACGGATAGGGTGGTCCTCTCTGGAACATAGATTACACCTTCTCGGTGTTGGAGCCACCCTAACTTCGCGTGAATCGAGCCTACGCACCGGTGGATTAGCATTTGATGACCTTGGCGGAAGATACCCAGAGCCGCTAGGCCTGACGTCGTCGATGGCCTCTAAAGTGCGATGGCGCTCAGTCAGAAATGCGTCCAACGCCTTCCAGGTCGGAATTTCGGCTTTATTGCGAATTGATTGCTCCCACAAGGAAAGCGTAATTTCGGGAAGCTTCGAGGAGACCATATACACAAGAAGGCAGTCCCACGCCTCGACTTCAATGGAGGATATTTGTAAGGCGGTCAAACAAGTTTGAACTGTGCCTTGCAGCTCTCTTAGAGCAACTCCGGATTCTTGAGGAACAGCCTGGATGTTAAAAAGAATCTTTAACTGACTGTTGACTAACAAGCGCTTATTTTCGAAGCGGTCGGAAAGGCTGCTCCATGCTGAGACGAAACCCTCGTTGGTCAGAGGGGCCTTTGAAACGATGGCATGAGCATCGCCGCTTGTCTTCGAAAGTAGGTGGAATAACCTCTCCACAGGCGTAAGTCGGGAATTATTAATGTAAATCGCCGTGAAGAGGTCCCGGAAGGTGGGCCACCGAAGATAATCGCCTGTGAAGACCTCGGTGTCCACTGGTGGCAATCGACAACCCATGGACGGGAGTGTGGGCGCAGGGGCGGAAGCCTGAATAGACTGGGAGGCGGCCTTGTCGATAATTTCCTGCAGCTGTACAAGACACCTCGAATATAAGGAGTAGCACTCACTGTACTTGGATTCAAGCTCAGTGGCGGTGGCTGTACTGTCGGAGGACACGGAAAGAAGATCGGAGCAGCTTTCATAGCTTTTCTCCACCTTGTCCCACAGGGCCCGAATTTGGTCCCGATGGATCCGGCACATGGCGGGGGAAAACCTCTCCGTGTCAGGAGCGCTCGGAATGTGGATGTTAGCTTCGAATTGGCTAACACGGGCTGTCGTCGAAATGAACTTTCGCAGGGCGATGTCTAGGGCATTTTGAGCCATTTTGGAAACCGACTGAGTGAGTCTTGGCGAAGGAACGGGACCAGAATCGACGGACTTGTCGCTTTTTGCCCTTGGGTTGGCAGTGGTTTTTTGTTGTTTCCAGTAGACAAACTCAATTTGGGACTCGGCGGATCAGCGGTTGTCGACTGACCTGAGCGAAGGATGCCTGATTCGAAGTGGAAAGCAGAGTCGGCAACCAGAACGTAGACCGTACTGTCCGTGATCGTGGTGGAGTAGGAAGCAGAGATGTCTATATATATTTCGTGGCTCGGAAGGGGAGTTTGTCTAAATTGGAAAATTAATTTATTAATTATAGTCCGTGATAACAAAAAAATTAATTAATAATTAATGTCGGAAATAATTAATGTGAATTATTTAAGGACTTGCACGTAATTATTACGGAGCCGGAAAGGCGGAATTAAAATATAAACCTTGGCTTTGACTCGGGGAAAACTCACTGGGCTATGCCGTCGGCAAAGCAGTGCATAAGTGAGGCGCCTATGAGAGACGAAAGGCACAGAAACCGAAACAACAACAACAACAGCACGGCTGATGCGGCGGTTAGTGCGGGGGTCCGAAAACAACCATAAATCGAAGTTTGGTTTAAGAAAAGCCGTCGGCAAAACACAGCCTAAGTGAAGAGCTCAGGAGAGAGACCAAAACGGAACTCGAGGAACAACAACAAGAACAACACGTCTGCTGCGGCGGTTGTGTGGATGTGGAGACAAAATCTTGGTTATTTTTGTTATTGTTTGATGGTTATTTAATTCCTGTATGTAAGGCAGAAAATTTAAATACGTATGTAATTGTATGAGCATGCAAATATGTATGGAAAAGTTGTCTTTATTTTGTACAGTGGAAACCCGATAACGGAACTGCTGAGGGCGTACAAAAAAATATTGAAGGCAGAAAATATATTTTGTACAGTGGAAACCCGAGAACTGGACTGGAGTTGTGAGGGCGTACAAAAATATTGGAGGCCGAAAATATATTTATATATTGGCATAAGTACAGTAGAGCGTCGAGAAGTGGACTGTATTATTTGAAGTTGAAGGAATTGTGTTCAAGAAAATATCGAGGCGGCGAGAAACACACAGTGACCGCATTATACATATGAGAATGAAATCTCGGGTAGGGGGCCGAATTCGGCAACACGAAATATTCACTGTAGAATTTTCACTGCCGCGGCGCTCGACTTGAAACACACGTTCACTTATTATATTATCTGTTTTAATATATTGGTCGGCTGAAGGTTGCGGATGTCAATTACCACTCTAAGTAAATGACCAACCAACTCGCGGAGTAATGCGCGCCGATTTACATATGTACGTATGTATGTGCGTATATCAAGACCGTTTTAGTCGTTGATGTACGGCCGAATATAGGGACGTATGTATGTACATATGTACGGAGAAATGTACAACGGGCCGAAGAAGTGGAAGAAAAAACGGAGATAATTATGCCGTTGCAGAACGAAATGCAGGCAAATGGAAGTGGAGAAAATTAGCTTTGGAAATGATTTTTAAGCTGTCTAATTGCCGTGGTGTCGGAAAACTCGGACGAGGAGTTGACAAAAAAATCGTCCGCAGGTTGAGCGAAATTTAAATTTCGGACAACTGTTGACGACCGGCAATTAGAGACGGGAGGGAACTTTTTACTTATCTTTTCTGCGGCGGCACCACCAAAGCTGCTGGGAAAAAAGGATTCCAGGACGATATCCTTATCCGGCTCGAAGGACCATGTTTAGGAGTGGGGTGGCTGCTCAGTCCTCCGCAAAAGGATCAATAAAAGTTTATCCCACGAAGTAGAAAAACGCAGAAAATTCGGGGGTCGAAAAGTGACAACGGCGGATTGCCCGTAGCATACATATATTTTCGCAGTCGATTCGGTACTAAACTTAGCTTAGCCTAAGGGCCCGCTGCCGGTCGAGAAGCCCAGCTTAACGGCGCGAGAGCGGAAGAGCGGGAGAACCGTGAATTAGAGCGGCGTAGCCGTCCCTAGAGGCGAGCGACGATCGGGAACACGGGAGCGTGCGATCGGGAATACCGAGGAGCGGAGAGCGGGTGAGCGTTGCTAAGCTGGAAGCGCTTGAGCTTTTGGACGCTCGGTGGGCAGAGGGGGAACAGGGGGCCTCCTGGCGTGAACATTACTTCAGGTAAGTCTGGTGGTGCCGAGTATGGTGACATGTCCAGTGTCTCAAAATCGCCCACTTCGTTTCTGAATGTCAAGCCCAGCTGCGCCGGAGACTGCGCCTTGGCCGTGGACACCGTCACGCCGTAGTCCTGCAACGTGCTGTCGTCCTCCATAACATCGTTGTCCTGATTGTATAACCGCTGGTCCACGGGCTGCACCTTCAGTATGCCTTCAATCATTCGCTTCAGTTCGGCCACTGTTGTGTTCTCCTTGGCGTCCGTGAAGATGGTGGTCTTCTGTCGCCTGATCATAAGAAACACGTCCATGTTGCCGAGTTTGTGGCGCTGACTGGAGCTTCGTCGAGCACTGGATTGATGTGGTGGCGAACCAGGGGCTGAGTGGGGCTAATTCACACGCTAGTGCTGATGACGGCGTGGGCGGCGCTTCCTTTGGCTGGCGCGGATTTCGAGCGGCTGGAATTTTCCTCTTCGCTTGCACCACCGCTGCTGCCGATTTCGGGCTGCTGCTGCTGCTGCTCTTGTGGTGGCGACGGACGCGGGCACGGGTGTTCGGAGAGCGCGGATAGTGGTCCGGCGTGTGTGCAACAGCTTCCTCGGTTGCCCCGCACTTGTAGGTTTTCGTAGTTTTACGATTTTTTCTCGCCTTTTTCCTTGCTGCTGCTTTCTCAACTTTTTATTGATCCTTTTGCGGAGGACTTAGCATGTTTAGGAGTGGGGTGGCTGGTAAATCCTCCGCAAAAGGATCAATAAAAGTTTATCCCACGAAGTAGAAAAACGCAGAAAATTCGGGGGTCGAAAAATGACGTCGGCGGAGTGCCCGTAGCATACATATATTTTCGCAGTCGATTCGGTACTAAACTTAGCTTAGCCTAAGGGCCCGCTGCCGGTCGAGAAGCCCAGCTTAACGGCGCGAGAGCGGAAGAGCGGGAGAACCGTGAATTAGAGCGGCGTAGCCGTCCCTAGAGGCGAGCGACGATCGGGAACACGGGAGCGTGCGATCGGGAATACCGAGGAGCGGAGAGCGGGTGAGCGTTGCTAAGCTGGAAGCGCTTGAGCTTTTGGACGCTCGGTGGGCAGAGGGGGAACAGGGGGCCTCCTGGCGTGAACAACTATTATAAATACAAATTCTGAAGTGGATACAGACATTATTAGGTGAGTATGCAAATGTATTAAACGTGTACAAACTAATATAAATATAAATTCTGAATTGGATTCAGGCATTATTAGCTGAGTTGTGAACTTTTTGTTTACAAATTTACAATTGAGTATGCAAATGTATTAGCCTTCTAAAAACTAATATAAGTACAAATTCTGCCGTGGATACATACATTATTAGCGGAGTTGTGAAGTTTTTGTTTACAAATTTACAATTGAGTATGCAAATGTATTAGCCGTGTAAAAACTAATATAAATACAAATTCAGAAGTGGTGTTCAGTCGCTGCAATATATATATAATTCATAATCATAACATTACATAATCTGTAATTCGTCAGTCGCAGCACTCTCATATGCAGCCAAAATAAAGTATAGATTACCTGGTCAAGCGCATATGTAGATTCTGCTGACGCGATGAAGTGGGATGGAGCAATAGCCTCATTCTGCATATACCATTACAACCTACATTATTCTTGCACATCAACATTTGTAACCAGAAGCATATTCGTTTCCGCATGCACTAGCAACCTACATTATTCTTTATCATTAATATTCGTAAATACAAGCACATTTGTTAGCTATAAATATCGTTAAGTTTGAATCAATAAAGTCAGTAATCATCTGCAATTCAAAGAGATCTTTACTCCTCCAACTGCAGTCCACCTAGTTCAAGTGCTGGGTGCGACACAAACAAGGCAATTAGTTTATGTGCTATTTTGCCAGGCATCAAAGCCTACTCACACTATCAAACACTCATATAAACATTTTGGTGACCCCGACAGTTCACGTCCTGCCGACAATTCACGTCCTGACGACAATTCACATCCTGACGATCAAATCCTAAGGACAATTCAGGTCCTGACGATCAAGTCCTGACGACAATTCAAGTCCCACGAGTCAAGTTCCCCAACTCTTGGAACAATCCTGGGCATCCTTTGAAAGAATCCTTCCACTAGAACTTAGAGTCTAGTGTGTTCTCCAAGTCAAGTGAACAAGTGCTAATTTTTTAGACCGCTGAACGGTTGCGAATAGGAGCGTATCCAGCTTAAAAAGCGAATAAAACACTCCCAACGGGTCAAGAATATAGCACTTTTCATTATGACTAGCGTGGAGGAGCAAGCAGCCACAGAGGCGTTAGACTTGCAGGAAGAGATCAGTCAAGAGATTTCAAAACTGATCCGCAATTTCAAGAAAGATTCTGCGGAGAGGAAACAAAACCCAACATACTTTCAATCTAAGTTGGCCGCAATCGATGAAGCATGGAATCGATTTGCGGAAAATGACCGTAATGTTCTGGAGAAATATAGAACCTCGGAATATTTAAGGTTTTACAAAGACTGTCGTGACTCATACGACAAGTATCGAAGCGCCATAACTGACGCAATGGCTCAAACTACGAGCCATGCCCAAGGAAACGCAGACGCTGCAAGCATACAGCAGCCTGTGGGCAAACTCATGTCGGCATGTCGCCGACAAAGAGCCATATCAGACTCTATCCATCGGGCTCTGAAAGAATTTTCAGAGACTGGAAAAACCATTACAAGTGATTTGATAAAATCACTATGGTCACAAGTTCAAGAGATCCACTTCGCTGTTCATGAAGAACACGAAGACCCGGTCAAGGGAGGATACGACATGCAGTCATTTCTCCGACTGGAAAGGGACATCCAAAAGGTGTTAGGGGCAAAAACTAATGCATCAAGCAATGAAGATGTACACTTGCCCAGAGTTAGCATCCCCAAATTCGATGGGGATCTACTCAAATGGACGCAGTTTTTCGATTTATTCAAATGCATGGTCCATGACACCAACATGCCGACAGTACGGAAAATGTGGTATCTAAAAACCACCGTAACTGGAGAGGCAGAGAGATTGATAAGACACATCGATCTAAAAGAAGAAAACTACACAAGCGCATGGGGCATATTGGTTGACGAATACAACAATCCCCGACACGTAGCCGACACGATTCTTAATCGTCTCTTGCAACACCACACAAATAGTGACGATCCGAAATCACTGAAAGAGTTGTATATAACAACTATCGAGTCCCTGGCATCATTAAGGGGACTAGGAATCGATGTATCCAGCTGGGATACAATATTGATTGCTATCATCGATTCGCATTCGACCTTCATCGAGTGCAGACGTGCTTACGGACGACCGCTACGCGGGGTTTATTCTCAAAGTGTTTTTTCATGGTGAAAAAGTAAATTCGGAACTCTAAACTACGTACTGTCAGCTAGGCCAAGCCCTACAGTGCGTATGACATACGGACACTAGTGCGTGAGACGTGTTTTTGAGCTGCAAAGTTCATTTATATTGTGCCACGCGTAACAAGCTCAAAATAATGAGCGGCGATCAAAAGAATGAGCGTAGAACCTCTGTAAACCAAAGAAACGGTGTTTTCTCTTATTTCTCAACTCGCGATATCGAAGCAGAAAAAACGTCTACCAAGCCCAACCCGGCTCTACTGACCGCCGACGGCACGAGAGCGCGCTCTTGCTCTCCCGCCCTACTTATTCCAGCTCCTACATCTTGGAGCTCCCAATGCCAAACCCCACCACCACCGGCTTCGTTGGAAGACGTACCAACAACAAGCAGAGCTGCAATTTCTGCAAACGCATCAAAAGCAACAGCAACAACTAAACCAACGGCCAATATTGCGAAATCGGTGCCAACGGCCGCAGCGCAAAATACAATGGTAACAAAAACCGTGAGCTCCGATAAGCAACAAGCGGTTCCGGCCATACAGACTGGCATGGATCGCTACATCCAAATTAAGCGTAAGCTTAGCCCCCATAACACGGTTGGTAACAAGCCTAAGATCAACCGTGTCACCAAAAGCTACGACCCAAACAACACCAACAAATTTTCTCCGCTAGCAGCTGGTCAGAATAATGAAGCAGAGCTGGAGCAGGAGACTCAAAAACAGCCAAAGCCCCCACCTATATATATAAGGGAGAAAAGTTCAAACGCCCTGGTCAACAAAATTGTTGCGGTGGTCGGGGACGGAAACTTTCATGTTGTTCCGATTATTAAAGGGAACATCTGCGAAACCAAAGTTCAAACCAAAACAGAAGAACACTTTCGAGCTGTGTCTAATTACCTGCAGGAAGCAAAAAAAGAGCTTTTACACCTACCAACTAAAAAGCAGCAAGGGACTGCAAGTAGTGCTGAAAGGAATTGAACCAGATGTCGCCCCCTCCGAGATACTAGAAGCCCTGAAAGGCAAGGGTTTCTTTGCCAAGAATGTTAGCAACATTATCAACAAAAACAAAAAGCCGCAACCTCTTTGCAAAGTCGAACTTGAGCCAGACAGTAAAGCCCTAAAGAAGAATGAAGTTCACCCGATCTACAAGTTGCAGTTCCTACTGCATCGAAGAATCACCGTGGAAGAACCTCACAAACGCAACGGTCCTGTGCAATGCACAAATTGCCAGGAGTATGGTCATACAAGGACATACTGCACCCTTCGGTCAGTCTGCGTAGTCTGTGGAGACTTCCACAACTCCGCACACTGCCCTGCGAACAAAGAAGACCCCAACACGAAAAAATGTGGAAACTGCGGAGGAAACCTTACAGCTAACTACAGAGGCTGTGAGGTCTACAAGGAGCTGAAGAGTCGCATGCGAAGAGCGACAGCTACACGCCAACAAAATACACAAAATGTGTATTTTAATTCAAAAACTACTCCAGATGTATTTTTTGCCAAAGCAGCCAGATCTTCTTTTGGTCCGCTAAATGCCCCCACGGGCATCTCCTACGCCGAAGCTCTACGGACAGGTATGCAAAATCCACTCCCCTCAAACTCAGTAAATGCTCAGCAGGCCCCAGAGCAGCCACAAAACAACATGGAATCCATGATGGTGACCATGCAACAAAGCATGATGGAACTCATGTCATTTATGAAAACGACCATGCAAACGCTCGTCCAGAATCAGAATATGGTGATACAGCTGCTCGTAGCACAACAGTCAAAATAATCAATGTCCAATCTACGTATATCCACGTGGAATGCCAATGGCGTCTCACGGCATAAACTTGAACTAACACAATTTCTAAACGAAAACCACATCGACGCCATGCTACTGGTTGAAACGCACCGCACAAGCAGATACAACTTTCATATAAGAGGTTATACCTTCTACCGCACAGATCATCCAGATGGTAAAGCCCACGGCGGGACCGGCATCCTTATCAGAGAACGCATCAAACACCACTTCCACCAAAGGTTTGCAACAAATTACCTGCAAGCTACGTCCATAAAAGTGCAGTCAGGTAACGGCAACCTTTGCATTGCTGCTGTCTACTGCCCACCTCGCTTTACAATCTCTGAAGGTCAATTCATGGATTTTTACAACTCACTTGGAGATCGATTTATAGCTGCAGGAGATTACAACGCCAAGCATACGCATTGGGGATCCCGCCTCGTGACCCCCAAGGGAAGACAACTGTACAACGCTCTCATCAATGTGAGAAATAAGCTGGACTACGTTTCCCCTGGTAGCCCCACATATTGGCCAGCAGACCCCAGTAAGATACCCGATCTAATTGACTTCGCGGTGACAAAAAACATCCCACGAAATTTAATAAACGCCAAGGCCCTTCCAGACCTTTCTTGAGATCACTCGCCGCTGTTGATAACCCTCCTTCAAAGCCCAGAAACTACGGATCGCCCCTATAGGCTGACGTCGCACAGAACCAATTGGATGAAATACAAAAAGTATGTGAGTTCCCACATTGAGCTAGCCCCCCAGCTCAATACTGAAACCGACATCGACTCCTCCACCTCCGCACTGGAAGAGGTACTTGTGACTGCAGCCAGAATCTCAACACCACAACAGACGGATGTGCAAAAATCAAATTCAAAACGAACCAGCAAATTGAACAGCTTATCCAAGAAAAGAGGCGTCTGCGACGGGCGTGGCAAACCAATAGATCGCCATGCACAAAGCAACGTCTAAATGAAGCCACACGCAAACTAAGCCGGGCCCTGAAGCAAGATGCCGAAAAAGCACAATTAAGATATATTGAAAAACTCTCGCCAACCAGCACAAAGCATCCCTTATGGAGAGCTCACCCAAATTTAAGCTCACCGGCTGAAACCATCACCCCGATAAGAAAGTCATCTGGTTGCTGGGCCCGCAGCGACAAAGACAGAGCCGAAACTTTTGCCTCACATCTCCAGGGCGTTTTCCAGCCGAACCCTGCTGCAAATCCATTTGATCTACCGCAAATCCACACTGAAACGGTATTTACTCCAGCATCATTTCGTCCGAACGAGATAGCGAAGGTCATCAGGGAACTGAAGCCGAAAAAGGCTCCCGGCGTTGACCTAATAACTCAAAAAATGATAATTGAACTTCCGAATTGTGCTATTGAGGTCATCTGTAAAATCTTCAATGGGATCATAAGTCTCAGCCATTACCCAACAAAATGGAAAAAATCTATAATTATAATGATACCGAAGACCGGAAAAGACCACACGATTCCGTCATCTTACCGACCAATAAATCTACTATCATGCTTGTCCAAGTTATTTGAAAAATGCCTACTAAAGCGCATAATCCCTTATCTGGGAGCTCACAACATTATCCCAGCTCATCAATTTGGCTTCAGAGAAAAACATGGAACTATCGAGCAAGTTAACAGAATAACATCAGAAATTCGCACAGCCTTCGAGCATCGAGAATATTGCAGCGCGATATTTCTCGACGTTTCTCAAGCATTCGACCGCGTCTGGCTCAACGGCCTCATGCACAAAATAAAAACACTCTTGCCGGTATACACACACAAATTACTTGAGTCGTATCTCTACAACAGAGTCTTCGCAGTGAGGTGCAACGCAACAACATCCGGCACCTATTCAATCGAAGCTGGAGTCCCACAAGGAAGTGCACTTGGGCCTACCCTATTTGTTCTATACACAGCGGATATCCCCACAAGCGACCAGCTAACATTATCCACTTTCGCTGATGACACTGCGATCCTCAGCCGTTCCAGATGCCCAGTCCGTGCAACAGCCCAGCTCGCCAACCACCTCAAGGTAGTCGAGAAGTGGCTATCTGATTGGCGTATTAAAATAAATGAACAAAAGTGTAAGCACATAACGTTCACCCTCAACAGACAAACATGCCCCCCGCTCTACCTGAACAGCACACTGATCCCCGAAGTCAACGTGGTAACGTACCTGGGCGTCCACCTGGACAGACGCCTAACATGGCGAAGACATATTGAATGCAAGAAACTTCATCTAAAACTAAAAGCCAGCAGCCTCCACTGGCTCATAAACTCCCGATCGCCCCTGTGTCTGGACTACAAGGTCCTGCTCTACAACTCCACACTAAAGCCAATATGGACGTATGGCTCCCAGCTCTGGGGGAACGCGTGCAGTACCAATCTAGACATCATACAGCGCGCCCTATCAAAAATCCTGAGAACTATCACTGGGGCACCATGGTATATTCGCAACGAAAACATCCACAGGGATCTCGGCATTCCTGCAGTTAAGAACGAAATAGAAAAACAAAAAGCGTCCTACAAGGAAAAACTCTCCACCCATCCAAATCCTTTAGCAAGGGACTTGATACGAGTTTCCAGAAGGAGCCGCCTACTACGTAACGACCATCCAACCCAGCCATAATTATTCAGGGCCATTTACTCTGTACCAGTCTCATGACTGCTAGTTAGGTAGTATTGTAAGATTTGATACACTTATTGTTAGTCTCATAATAATAAATAAAAGCAAAGCCTAAAAAAAAAAAAAAAAAAAAAAAATCATCAAGCAAAAATTGGATATTGCTAATAGAGCCTTGTACGAACAGTCGTTGGATGGTTCTCGACAACTGCAACAACACAATACTTAACTTCCTCGACCAGAGAATTCGCGTACTGGGAACAGGAAAAAGAAGTCAACAAGCAAAAAGGGATCAGAAGGGACCAACATGCACTTCTGCCAGCGCTGGAAAGTTACCAAGCTGTCCATTTTGCAAACGGAATCATTGGCTATACAAATGTGATGACTTCCGTAATAAACCAATACCCGAACGACTCAATTGGGTACAAAAACAACGACTGTGTGTCAACTGCTTCAGCAGCGACCACAAGGCAAAGGAATGCCGATTCCGTTTGTGTTTTAAATGCGATAAAAAACACCATACACTGCTGCATCTTGAAACGTCATCAGGTGCAGCAACTGAACCACAATCACCTTCTGTAGGGGCAGCAAGTAACAAGAGTTACAATCTGCTGGCCACAGTCAAGGTATCAGTAAAAGCAAGCAATGGTCAGGTGGCCACTTTCAGAGCTCTGCTTGATTCAGGATCACAAATAAACTTGATCTCTGAACGAATGGCTTCAAAGCTATCATTAAGGCTCCACGGTACTTGATTACGTATCGAAGGTATTGGAGGCAATCCTAAGACTAGTCGAGCTAGAGTAAATGTGCAAATGAAATCAATGCATAACGACTTTTCTCAGCAAGTCGAGGCTTTTGTGTTACCACACATTATAGCTGATCAACCGGCTCATCAGCTAGATCCAACAAATCTATCACTCCCTCAAAACATCGCTCTGGCAGATGCAAACTTTGATAAGCCAGGAAAGATTGACATGCTTATCGGAGCTGAGCACTACTATTCGTTACTACTGCCAAACCAGATGATGTTAAAACCAGGCGGCCCGGTCCTACAAAATACTAAACTTGGCTGGATTGTCGCCGGAAAAGTATCTGCAGAAAACAACCAAGCAGCAATTTGCGCGCCTGTAACCACAGAGGACCAAATCGACACGCTTTTGGAACGTTTCTGGACTTTGGAAAACCTAGAAACGGAAGCGAAACCAAAATCACCGATAGAGGCTCATTGCGAAAGACACTTTCTAGGAAATCTCCAATTCGCAGCAAATGGAAGGTTCATAGTAAAACTTCCTTTTTCTGAACAATCATCAGCCCTGGGGGCATCGCAGAAAACTGCAACTAACAGGTTCCTGGCACTAGAGCGCAGAACATCACCTGAAGTCTGGAAAGGTTACGTAGATTTTATGGACGAGTATGAAAGCCTTGGACACATGAAAGAAGTGCCTCCCACAAGGATACCTACGGATCACTATTTTATCCCGCACCACTGTGTGCTAAAACCTGAAAGCAGCACTACAAAACTTCGGGTAGTGTTCGATGCTTCCTGCAAAACCACCAGCAACAAGTCATTAAATGATATTTTGTATGCTGGACCCACCGTACAGAGCGAACTGTTTGCAATTTTACTACGGTTCCGCACTCACAAGTACGTGTTCACAGCCGATATAGAGAAAATGTATCGCCAGGTATGGATACATCCTGATCATCAATTTCATCAATTAATCGTCTGGCGAAAGAATCCATCAGACGAACTCAAGTATTATCGACTGAAAACCGTAACATACGGTACAACATCAGCTCCATTCCTAGCTACAAAATGCTTGGATTACTTGGCTGAGAAAACCAAAAAGAATTTACCGCTTGGAGCAGCCGTGCTCAAGCATGATTTTTATGTAAACGACTGTCTAACAGGAGCAAATAGCATCCCAGAAGCAGTTCAGATTCAACAAGAGCTAAACAAAATACTGCTACCAGCCGGATTCAAGCTCCGAAAGTGGTGCTCCAACAATGACGAAGTTCTCGCACAAATCCCAAAGGAAGACATAGTCAACCACGTCAAATTAGACGAAACCCTTCAACACTACAGTGTGAAAACATTGGGTTTAATCTGGGTACCAAATAAGGACCAGCTTTGTGGCCGATCCCAAAAAAGTGAAGCATCAACCATCACCAAACGAGTGGTGAGCTCAGAGGCGTCACAAATTTTCGATCTACAAGGACTATTCGCTCCTGTTGTGGTAAAGGCTAAGATATTCATGCAAAACCTGTGGCAGCTGAAGATGGGCTGGGACGACGAGCTTCCTCAACTTCTGCAAACTGAGTGGAAAAATTATCGTACTGATTTACAAGCATTGAACAATCTACAAATTCCACGGCACATCTTTGACGGAAAGGTGCCCATTAATCAGGAAATTCACACGTTTGTCGATGCGTCAGAGCGGGCATATGGAGCAGCAATCTATGTCCGAGCCACATATAAGAGCAATCAAGTATCTGTTCGGCTACTGTGCTCAAAGTCAAGAGTAGCGCCGACAGCAAAAGAGACGCTGCCTCGCCTGGAATTATGCGCCGCAGTCTTGGGAGCGGAGCTAACCCACAGGGTGCGGAAGGATTTACGCATACCAAACGATAAGGTGCCTGGATACTTATGGTCAGATTCGACTGTGGTGCTGTCCTGGATAAACGCATCAGCATCATCATATCACACGTTTGTGGCAAATCGAATCGCAAAAATCCAAGCTGTTTTAGACCAATCTCAGTGGCGTCACGTGTCATCAGCTAACAAGAGGAATTGCCGCCAGCAAGTTAGCAGAACACAATCTATGGCTATATGGACCTCTATTTTTACATGGCTCTCGCGACAAGTGGGCTCAGGTACCAACTACCACCCCCAGCGATCTAGAACGCAGGCTCAATCACATAAGCTTGCCAACATGTCAAAGTGAAATTGGCAGTGTACTCTACAAGTGCAACCACAGCAACTCCTTCAATAAGCTACAACGTATTGTAGCATATATGATGCGTTTCTGTAACAAGAAAAACAGATCACCCACAACTACATTGTGTGTCGGTGAGTTAACCAATGCAAGGACCATCATCCTGCGGACTATCCAGAAAATTGATTTTAGTGCTGAATACAAACAACTCCGGATCCACAAAACGGTGGACAAAAAGAGCTCGATTGTCTCCCTATGTCCTATAATCGGAAACGACGGACTGATCAGAGTCGGAGGTAGATTAGAAGAATCTAGCCTTCCATATAACGCGAAGCATCAAATTTTGCGTCCATACAACGATCCACTTGTGAAAATGCTACTGCGAGAGATGCATGAAGAGAACATGCATTGCGGGGCTCAAGCTCTAAGAGCCATTGCCAGGCAACAATATTGGATTCTCAATGATAAAACAATGGCAAGAAGCATAATTCACAGCTGTGTCAGATGTACAAAGGCACGGCCCAAGTTGATGCAACAAATCATGGGCAACTTACCAGCTGACCGAGTAACACAAGCTCGGCCATTCTTTAACTCTGGTGTTGACTACTGTGGACCGATTTGGATTCATCACAAACTACGTGGAAAAAGACCTGATAAGGCTTACATTGCAGTCTTCTGCTGTTTCGCAACAAATGCAGTTCATCTGGAGTTAGTCAGTGACTTGACAACAGATGCATTTCTAGCCGCGCTTCGGCGATTTTTGGGTCGACGCGGAAAATGTCAGACTATTCACTGTGACAACGCAACAAACTTTGTCGGTGCCAATAATCAATTGAAGGCCCTAGAGGGAGCTATATTCACCGACAAGGCTCAAGAACAGATTATTAACCATTGCAATAAAAAGCAAGTGGAGTTTAAGTTCATACCGCCCCTGGCACCATCGTTTGGCGGGCTTTGGGAAGCTGCGGTGAAATCTGCGAAGCGGCTGCTAGTATCAGTCACAGCCACGGCTTCATTAACATTTGAGGAGCTCAACACCGTAATCGTGGAAGTCGAAGCAATACTCAATTCCCGACCGCTGACACCGATGTCATCTGATCCAACAGATACATCAGCTCTGACTCCTGGCCATTTTTTGATTGGTGAACCGTTGACCGCCGCTCCCGATGCAAATCTAGCCTCACCAGGGAAAACTTTGGTGAAAAGATGGGAATTGGTGTCCAGATTAAAGCAAATGTTCTGGGACCAATGGTCTATGGAGTATCTACAAGAGCTTCAGATGCGCAACAAGTGGAAAACCGCATCACAAACCTGAAGGAGGGACTACTTGTGCTAGTCAAGGAAGACAACGTGCCGGTGATGAGTTGGCCAATGGGACGAATAGTGAAGACATATCCCGGGAAGGACAACCATGTCCGAGTAGTAGATGTAAACACTGCATCTGGGATCTTCAAACGGTCAGTAACTCGTCTCGCGCCGCTGTTGAAAGAAGAAACCGCAGTCAAACGTCCGCACAGTTATGAAGATACAACGTCAAAGGATGAAATGCCAACACAGAGGAGGAAGCTGTCACCTTCAATCCTTCCAACCCTACTGGCAATGTTACTCATTCTGCCACTAGCGATGGGACAACAGACAAAGGTCACGCAGTTCACAAATCAGCCAGGTCTATTCTATGAAAGAATCGGGACCTCCAGAATGGCAATTTCAGATTGGACCATCATCGTATATTACGACTTGCAACCATATTGGAGTGACATGAGAGTATTGGATGCCGGGATAACTGAACTCAAACACAAGTGTTCAGAATTACAAAACGTCAATGCATGTAACTCTATATATGCACACTTTCAACACGTGCATGCCGAATTACAAGCCGGAAATGAGCTTATTAACCACTCACGGCAGCGAAGATCACCGCTAGATATAGTCGGTAATGTGGCGAACTCATTATTTGGCGTGCTGGATTCCAAATATGCTGAAGATATGTCCAAGGTCATAAACGATGTCAAATCAAACGAGGAAGTATTAATGATGTTACTGAAGAACCAAACATCAATCTTGGATTCCACTATAAATGTGGTAAGGAAAAGCAATTCAGCTACCAACGACCGCATACGAAACATAGAACGACAAATAGATGCTCTCACCAGAGAACGAGGAAAATATCAAGGCAACTATCTGCAACAAGCATTCATGATTCTGACAGCCCAGCTCACTCTACTGGCAAACGGAATGCAGCGAATGCAAAATGAGATAACCAACGTTCTTAGCGACATTCGCCACCGAACAATTAAGGGATCAACTTGATCAGATTAGGGAGCACATCCCACCGGATCAACAGCTGCCAGTCTCTTCAAATGACGTAATACAACTCTATCGAATCATGCATGCCGAGGGAACAACAACCACTGACCATGTTATCTTCAAAATAACGCTGCCATTAGTATCCACAGCGCAGCAAGAAGTTTTCAGCGTCATCCCCATCCCTGCATGGAAGGCAGGAAGCTGGCATGAATTCAAGCTCAAAACAAGGATCATAACTGTCAATGCCCATAGAGATCAATTCATGGGACTAACTACTGACGAGTTTGATCAATGTCTACAATTGCCAAAGGATGAACAAATATGCGTCAATCATCAAGCTACGTTTAGCGTAGATAATCGATGTGAATTTCAGTTGTTCAATAACAAGACTGAAACGGAATGTGAGACTGCTAAATCGAAGTCCGATTTAATATGGTCAGCAACACATCAACGAAACAGATGGATGTTTGCAACCCACATTCCGATCGAACTGCAGGCTGTATGCAAGGGAGTTCCCTCCACAGTACAAATGGAAGGAACAGGCTTACTATCACTCGCCGCAGGTTGCACGGCACGCAACTCAAAAATCAGTGTTAGTACATTTAGCACAAGCCGCAGCGAGACAAAAGCAGCATATGTTCGTTTTGGCAACATCACCAAGATAAACATAGAAGAGACACCGAAACCAGGCGTAGAATCGACAACCAAGATAACCGACGCCGAATTAGGCGAATTAGATGCCCTACAACAACAACTGGCCAAACTAAAAGATACGAAGTACGAAAATCAAGTCAGCATAGTACACCATCATCAAGTAGCCGCCTATGTGGCACTATCAATATCAATACTACTGATCGTGACCCTGAGTCTTCGATATCGCCGAGTCAATTGGAGAACACCACAACGCAGCCCCAATCCCCGGACAACAAGTGAACCGCCAGCACCCGAACCTACCCCACGGAGTTTTTCGTTCGACATTACTGAAGGTTGAACACCCGTTCAACGGCCGGGAGAATGTTCAGTCGCTGCAATATATATATAATTCATAATCATAACATTACATAATCTGTAATTCGTCAGTCGCAGCACTCTCATATGCAGCCAAAATAAAGTATAGATTACCAGGTCAAGCGCATATGTAGATTCTGCTGACGCGATGAAGTGGGATGGAGCAATAGCCTCATTCTGCATATACCATTACAACCTACATTATTCTTGCACATCAACATTTGTAACCAGAAGCATATTCGTTTCCGCATGCACTAGCAACCTACATTATTCTTTATCATTAATATTCGTAAATACAAGCACATTTGTTAGCTATAAATATCGTTAAGTTTGAATCAATAAAGTCAGTAATCATCTGCAATTCAAAGAGATCTTTACTCCTCCAACTGCAGTCCACCTAGTTCAAGTGCTGGGTGCGACACAAACAAGGCAATTAGTTTATGTGCTATTTTGCCAGGCATCAAAGCCTACTCACACTATCAAACACTCATATAAACAAGTGGATTCAGGCATTATTAGCTGAGTTGTGAACTTTTTATTTTCAAATTTACAATTGAGTATGCAAATGTATTAGCCGTGTAAAAACTATTATAAATACACATTCTGAAGTGGATACAGACATTATTAGCTGAGTTATGAACTTTTTGTTTACAAATTTACAATTGAGTATGCAAATGTATTCGCCTTCTAAAAATTAATATAAGTACAAATTCTGCCGTGGATACATGCATTATTAGCTGAGATGTGAACTTTTTGTTTACAAATTTACAATTGAGTATGCAAATGTATTAGCCGTGTAAAAACCAATATAAATATAAATTCTGAAGTGGATTCAGGCATTATTAGCTGAGTTGTGAACTTTTTGTTTACAAATTTACAATTGAGTATGCAAATGTATTAGCCTTCTAAAAACTAATATAAGTACAAATTCTGCCGTGGATACATACATTATTAGCGGAGTTTTGAACTTTTTGTTTACAAATTTACAATTGAGTATGCAAATGTATAAGACGTGTAAAAACTAATCTATATATATAAAAATGGAGACAAAAAATGTTAGGGATCAAATCACAAGAGAACGGCTGGGCCGATTTGGCTCAATTTTTTTTCAGTTTTTTGTAATTGCCAGAAGAAGGTTATAGTATAAGAAAATTTTGGAAAGTCCTTCCGGAAAGGTCGCTAGCGGCTCAACAGATGGACACACTGTTGTATGTAAAATTCTGAAACACCCTACAAAGATCATAGCTGCGTTGAAATTGTGTATCAATGAACTCGGTAAAAAAATATTTAAACAAAAAAATCGAGCTAACGAAGCATTACCAAAGTGAGCTTAAACAATTGGAAGTAATGCCTGCTGTTAGACGATCAAATCTTGGGCGGCGTTCTCGCAATGCAATAAATAATCAGAATTTCCTTAATAGTCGGTCGCAAGAGGAACGTACAGAAATAAATGCATCGATACGTGCCCAAATGGCACAGCTTCGCGCTGCACAAAGACCACTTCAAGCCCGACAAAATAATAGAGGAAGACGAGCCGCAAATGAAAACTTGAATCGCGCTGCATTCGCATACAATCCTGAAACATCCTACAAGGATCTTACCTGCGTTGTTATTGGTTCATTATCTGTTGTATGTCAGCATTGTAATGCATTGAAGTTTCGGTTGGAAACCCCCGGCTTATGCTGTGCAGGTGGCAAAATTAAATTGCCCGTTTCGGCTCATCCACCAGAGCCTTTGTACTCGCTACTATATGGAAACTCAGCCCAATCAAACAGTTTCCTGAAGCTTGCACAAAAATATAACGGATGCTTTCAAATGACGTCTTTTGGAGCCGAGGTTGTTCAACAATCAGGCTACAATCCAAGTTATAAGGTAATGGCGTCTCTTTATCATCACATTTTTTCAAAATTGCATCCCAACATTCAGATTCAAGGGCAAATTCGCCACCGAGCGGGCGCTTTGTTATCACCACAAAACAAAGATCATAAATTCCTTCAGATCTATTTCATTGGTGATTCGGAAGTTGAACTAAATCACCGCTGTGCAATTTTTACTGCAACTAAACGTGAAATTATTCAACAATTGCAAAACCTTCTCCATGAGCATAATGAATTGGTCAGATTGTTTAAAACCGCATTGGATATAATGCATTATGACGAACATAAAATCATTATCAGCGCTGACAAAAGACCCACTGGTAGCCATGCAAGACAATTTAATGCTCCCACTATCAATGAAGTCGCAGTGGTGATTGTTGGCGAGAATGTTGAATCACGCAATATTGTTCTTAAGCGTCGGGATAATGGCCAATTGCAGCGAGTTTATGAGACTCATCGGTCTTATGATGCTCTTCAATACCCGTTGATGTTCTGTCGTGGAGAAGATGGTTATCACTTCAACATAAAGATGGTCAATCCAACGACAGGTTTGTTTAAAAGTCATCACGTCTTTTTAATTCTACAACTGAGTTTGAATTCAAATTTTAGGAGAAGAAACGAATAAGAAGGTTAGGTGTATGAATTTTTATGCGTATCGATTGATGATTCGACTTGATGTTGACAATCATCTGTTAAGATACCGCCGTTTGTTTCAACAGTACTGTGTCGACATGTACGTCAAAGTAGAAACGGAACGTCTCAATTTCATTCGTTTTAATCAGTCGAAGTTGCGCTCAGACGAGTACATCCACTTGCGTGACGCCATCGCTACTGAAGGACACGCGGGCAACATCGGTTTTTTGACCATTCTCCCAGCTACTTATTTTGGAAGCCCGCGCCATATGCATGAGTATGCTCAAGATGCGATGACGTATGTCCGGAATTACGGACGCCCGGATTTATTCATCACCTTCACATGCAATCCGAAATGGCCCGAAATTACCAATTTGTTGCTTTCAGGACAAACATCCAGCGATCAACCTGACATCACTGCACGAGTAAATACATGGACCAAATGGTGGACGATATATTGAACAGAGAACGCAGGACAACTTCTAATTTC